GTCTTACCATAGTTAAAATTTGATTTAACAATTCAAAGCAGCAACTAAACTATACTTTTCAATCTTTTTTTTTTTCGCTTCATATTATAGAAACTTTAAATTGACTTAGTCCATTGCTAATAAGTTGTAAAAACCAACTCTTCATCGATTCCTGTTCACCCTTTCAGACCAGTCCAATTCTGAAACAGACCATTTTGTTAGGCTTCACTAACTGACAACTGTTGATTGATTACTAACTGTTCTTTGATCCGTTTTCAGTTATTAATTAGTTATACCTGTCAGAAAAAAAAAAAAAAGGAAGAGAGAAGAAAAAAGATGATGAATGAATGTTATTATTACAGATTACACAATAAATATTAATATCAATGTTAATGTTAAATTAATGTAGTTAGAGCAAGCTTAATCTGCCAAACACTATATCATACAGCCAACTCCTTACATAATGAAGACTGCAAGCCAAATTTCTTCATTAAAAATTTTCCACCGTGCTCTATTCGACAAAATTTCTGCTTGGTTTTTTTAACAAATTAACTTAATACTGTACCAAAAATAAAGAGTGACCGCTTAATAAAACGATAACAGAAAAGTTGTTCTTCAACAGAAAATATTCTTTGTCATAATTGTTTTACCATTATTTGATAACTTTTGTTAAGCAGAGTGAAACTGTTACATCTACAATTTTTTTAATATCTTAGATTGCCACAAATTGATCTTAACTTTCGCCATAATTAGGTCAACAGGATAAAACGAGTAATTTATTTGAACCGTCGTTCTCTTGCAGTATTCAAAGGTCAAAAAACTTACACTTTTTTTAACTGTATAATCGAAGGTTTATTAGCTACCTTTAGCTGTGCATCTTATATGGCTTCCCACGCCGAGAAAAATCTCAAATTCAAATTAGTCAAGGCTTCAGGAAGAGGCTTGCTTTCGGGTAACAGCGAACAAACGTCAGTCTTTCCTGTTTATTTTTTTGGTCGCCACTCATACAGGAAACTAGCCGGACAAAAAAATAATGCAGCAGACAGTTTAACAGCTTCTAATAGTTTTAAATTGCAGAAACTGTCATCTGGTTATTCAACGTTGAGACCGTTTTGAAAAAAAAACGACCTTCTAGTCTAGCATATTTGAGGCGTTCAGGATTTGAATTCCCACGTTTTTTATATTTTGGACGCTTGCCAGCTCTCTGTTAAAATTGGTTTCACAGTCATTTGGTGTAGACGAAATGAGAACTGATTTCATCCGCAAGAATAAGCTGATACTGGCCTTCGCCAAGCTGTATTCGTGCGTTTGATCTTTTTACTTTTTTTTCTGGGACTGACCATCGTTCTTTGCTATCTACTTCTACAGATGGTAGGTGTGCGAGAATACCTTTGTTAATGTTCGGTTACTTTTTAGA